CTGCGAAGGGCCACTAAGGCTGAGCACCTCCAAGAGCTCAGTAGTGCGTTCCGTAAGCCACCTCTACCTGAACACTTTTACCTGCCAGAATCGACATACAAGCCTAAAGCTAAGGCTATGGAGGCCAGGAAACAGCCAGGGGTTGTGTGTATAAGCGAAGCCCTACCTTTGACCACTAGTTCACAAGAGATAGCGTCCATCCGCAGCGAACTAACTGCTCTTCGAAAGGCAATTAAGGAGCTGCCAAAGAAACTTAATAATCCCCCTAAGATAGCTGGGTTCAACGTGATGGATAAGCACTTAGCAGAAATAGTCGATGAGCTGACCAAGAAAAAGCTCAGAAAACCGGCTATTGATGAGGACATGTTGAAGCTGCTGTTTGACCTTGCGTCGAGCAGGCCTGGCTAAATATGCCAATAAGCAGAAATAGAGCTTCCACTCCTCAAACGGTCCCCATCAACAGGGGCAACGATCACCCTCACCTCCTTCGCCCAAGTGAAATAGACACCAAGGTTCGGGTTCACGCTCATCGAGGCGAAGCCCGAACAAGGGGTCAGGCACGAGAGATCCTGGCACCCAGACTAGTCCCCTTCGCAGGAGTCTCAGCTACGCTGCTATAAATGTAATCACTTAGGCCACTATGCGCGAGACTGCCCTAACAAGAGGCAGGGAAATAAGAGGAGGACGTAAGCGAGGGTATTACGCCGCCTGCCTCTCCCAAACTCTCACAGGCTACGGTAGCATCGGAGGACGCGCGCCAGTGGTGGCTACAACTTGAAGTAACCAGGTACAAGCTGCGAGTGCTATACAACCCCAGTGCTACCCACACCGTCATGTAAGCAGTTAAAATCCAGATAGCCTACTACTGCGGTTATCAATTCCGCATACACTAGGATGGCCGACGGACGACCGTCACGCACTTAAGGCCTCGTTACTCTACCTTTTGAACTAGGAGGAGTTAATCGGGACGTTGACGTCATTGTACTGCTTGAGTTAGACGCTGATTGCGGAGTCGGTGCTAACCTTATCAACGCTNATTATTATTATTATTATTATTATTATTGTTATTACTATTATTATAAATACCACCGCTAATTATAAGTGAGTATGGCCGCAGCCACCGTTTTGGCGCTTAAGTAGTAGTATTAACTAACAACTCACCGATCGTTTGTTCACCCTAGCATCAACCGAATTGTTAAGCGATTTTCACCGCTCTTTTTGCAATGAGCTTAGCTGAACGAACAACCGATGTTTAGCATTAGTATTGTTATCATAACTACTACCACAAATATTTTAATTATAAGTTATTATGGAAACTGCTATCGTTTTTGGTGTTTAAGTAGTAGTGTTAATTGATAAATCGTAACACACCGATCGTTTATTCATCTGAGCATTAATTAAATTGTTAAGCGATTTTCACCGCTCTTTTTGGAACAAGTTCAGTTGAAAAAACGAACGGTGTTTAGCATCAGTAAATGTTAATATTGTATCTTAATGTTAGTATTAAGTCACATTGAAATCCTATAAAATTTGGATGTAAAAGGAAAAGGAAGGGCATGAGCAAGTGAATCACCTTCTCTTCCCTTGACGCAAGGAGGAGAGTGAGCCGGACGTGGGAAGTGCCAATTTCTGAGTACCTTAATTAGAGCAGTCCTAGCCTAAAAAAGTATTATCTAACTCAATGTCAAAACTAAAAGTATACTTATTTGGTTTGATCGCAAAAAAGATGCACTGTATATTTTTCTACAAACATCGATTACAGTAATTTGATTTCCAGCAAATTACAAAAATTGTTAGTATTTTTCCTGCTGTCTCGCGCTTTTTTTCCCTTCCTATTTTAAGGCCTCTATTGTTGCCTTTGTTATAATTCAAGAAGACCACTTAGAGCTGCTTATGACAACTACTGGCATTTGTATATGTCAATACTAGTAAAATGCCGTAAGCGTTTCATTCAAAGTTCTTGAATAAATCGCTCAACCGCCAAACAATTGAAACACTTGTAATGAGATAAAACTGTAATTTTTAACATGATTTTACATGTAGAGCAATTTATTTTTATTGATAAAAATGTAGAAAACCAATGATAATTAGAATAAAAAGACATAAAAAAATTTTGTGTAATCCTCTAAAAGCTATTTTAATAAAAAATATGAAAATGCAGAAATGACTTTTTTTAACGTAATTATATTTTTTTGTAATTTTTTGTAATTACCGTGCATAAGAAAAACTTTTATTATACCTATTTTAGTTAAATTATTCTTAATCTGTTCCTCGGCTCCGTATGTTTGGCAATTAATGTTGTATATTTGGACATCATTTTTTACGAAATTGTCACTGGTGTTTACATGTGGATAAATGTCTTCCACTATTTGAGCTGTCATGTTATAAGTTGATTGAAAATTACATTTTTGACACAATTTTGTCAATGTGAAACTTGAAAATTCTTTAAACAAATGTCTTGCAAGCCATCAAACTTCCACTTCTTCATCAATTACATGCACTTCCTCTGGTACAATTGTTGATACTTTCATCTCAAAATATTTTGAAAGGACCTCTTAAGGTGTAGGTATATATGTATGTAGAATAGGTATATATATATTTACTATATCCAAAATCATATAAAAAAAGGGATGAGATTCGAGGGCAATCTGCGGTAATTATAACGAATTAAAAGATTGTTTTATTTATTATTTTAGTAATTTTTGTCTTTTGTTGCTCGTTTAGAATGTATGTTACAAGTAGTTATAAGGTGTCATGATTGTAGAAGTTAACCGGTAATAAATTTTTTAAATTTTTAGTGCTTCACATTTCATTTTTTTAAATATTTTCTGCTATTTTCTTGATGATATAAATGTCAATATCTCAAAAAATGTGGTAAATTTGATATTAGTGTTTCCGTTAAGACTTGCTCTCTAGTTTCATCGTATTTTACAATTATATACTCATATTTTTTTTTTGTTTCGCCCAGTAGAGAAAGAAGTTGCACAAAAAACAGTCAAGGCACAAAAATGTGTGAAATTTAGCAGTCATCATTCGTCATAAGCAACGTTATACAAACATTTATTAAGTTGAAAAGGCCTATCAGGACGAAAGTAACAGGTGATTTAAATTTACGTTATAAGACTTTGGTAGATAAAATTGACGAGTTGTCAATGTAAAGTTAAAGTAATAGTAACTTTCGATCTCGGCATGATTTTGAACTCAACCAGAGCTCAACATAAAGCCCTCTATAACGAGTTTGATCACTGTTTAAGCGAATACTCAAACTTTACTTTGATCTGAACAGTGATTAAAAACTGTTATAGCACGAAATTCGGTGCAAATTGTAGTGGAATTATTTTTGTTAATATTTAAGTGTCAATTAAGGTATGGAATCTGCTTTAAAAGTAAGCTAATAGTGCTTGAATAGTTGTACTACAAGCTCTCGAAAATATTGATTAGTAGGTAAGTTAAGAGGGTTCAACAAGTATGTCGGAAAAAACCAAGTTTTGAGCCTTTCTTTAACATTAACTAACGCGAATACACCTGTTGCCCTGATTAACGTTTTTGATTTAATCAAGGCTTGCATTTACGCTAATTTTATGCATTTTTCTTATTTTTTTAAACATGTACTCTAACTACATTTGATAACTACTGCGGATCGAAAAACCAACAACATTAAATGAAGTGAAAATCACGGTTGTTTTCTATTATAGAGTAGCTTGAGATATAGGTATGACATCAGCTAACAAAACGATTAAAAGTGCCTAAAACAAGCTTTCGTACGCAGTAGTCCTAGTTGAGTGTAAAACATTGATTAAAATGAAAAGTTACGAGCGTTGTGAATTCAATTAGAAGATCGTGGATTTGCATTGTAAGTAGCGCATTTTAGCCATTTTTAAACTTAAAATCTGAGCTAGTTAGTCTTATCCACTACTGGTGTATAATTTTTTTGTCATTTATACGTAAAATACTTTATTATAATTAACAACATACAACACTTTTGAGAGTCTTTAACTTACGTTAGGGTAATAAGTAGTTATGAAACGAAATTGAAAATTGATGGTTGTACCGCACAAGTCACAAAGAAATAAAAAAATATTTTATACTTTATATTGTATATTTACTTGCGTTAGGCGAAATCCGCATCAATCTACGTTATGTAGTCTCACATTTTTCCCTTTTTTAAAAATAGTTAAAAGAAAATTGTATTTGCTGTATAAAGTATGAATTGTATTTTATAAATTAATGCAGAAGGTTTGAGCATGGATAAAATTTTTTTTCTCATGCTGTAGGAGTGAAGTCGATGGTACTGTGAGAGATTAGATGTTTAAAAAGCTGAATGAATGATAATGATGTCAAGAGATATTAATCGAAACTGAAATCTCACGCTTATTTAAGATATTTTGATGTTTACTTATAGAATAAAGGCCCTAAAATATGTGTAATAATAAAGTAGTTTTTAAATAAACAAATAGAACCACCAAAAATTAATATGCCAATAAACTTGTACTACTTGCTTTCGGAGTCACTGAACATAAGTTCAGAGATCTCTATTTTCTATTATGTCAAAGGTATTTAGGTTTTTCTATTTACAAACTCACTGCATAATATTTGAGTACTACAGTTAATTTATTGTAATGTCTAAGAATGTCCTTTCCATTTACAAAAATGTGGGCTTTATATTTATTCCAACTTCTCAGGATCTTTTATTAGATGTTCTGGTGTTTTTGTGCGTTTTGTTTTTATTGCTTTTTTTATCGTCTTTTTACATATTCTCTGTTATTGGTCCTCTTTTATTTAAGTAGAGCCAGGCTAAATAAAACTAACCTTATCTAATACGAGAGAGAAAATATACACTCAAATAAAAGTCAAAATAAAAATGAAAAATAAATTACAATCTTGCATTAACGAAAAAATATTGTTAAGACGTATAAATATAATTAATGTTTATAATATAAAATGTGTGATGCAAATATTAAATTCTATCAGCAAACTGTAAACTTTTTTGTTTTAGAAATAAATGTTGAGCACCTATGTGCAAGGCAATGGTGTAAATGCAGACTCGCCCATTAGAACCTATTACGTTAAAAATACACATTCACCCATGGATCAATGTGATAAAAACATGTTTTTAGAGAAACGTGACACGAAAACAAAAATAAAAATCCATTACGGCTCTTATTTTGACACTATGACTAAAAAATTGTTAAATCACTGTGTTGAGCAAACTCTTAAAACAAAGTCTAGATTTCGACCTCGATCATCTTCTGCTCCCGCCGCTTCAAAATTACAACAGTTTAAACCAGTGAAATCATTTTTATATTTCTCTGAACCTTTCCATCCTGGTACCTCGGACTTATCGGTCTCTAAATCGTCATTATTAAAAAATCTACCTTTACCAGCAAGTTTATCTACAAATAATTTAAAATCAAGATCTTTGTCGAGAGAAATATCAGTTTCACAGTATGATTTACCATCGAAATTTACATCTCCATCAGTATCACGATCTTCTTCCAAGTCCAGTTCAAGATCGCCGTTGATATCAAGATCAAAATCGAAATCGAGATCAAGGTCTAAATCAAAAAACAGATTTGATACAAGATCTATATCAAGATCACGGTCGAAATCACGGTCGAAATCACGATCGGCATCTAGATCACCATCGCAGTCTCGGTCATTATCAAGATCAAGATCGAAATCAAAATCAAGATCTAGGTCGCCACATGGATCTACATCTATGTCTAAGTATACATCAAGATCCAGATCGCGATCACGATCTATTGCTAGTACGAGCCACAAATCGAAATCAGAGTCAAGTTTTCGATCAACTTCGAGATCTAAATCACGGTCAAGGTCACAATCTTCGTGTAAATCAAGATCTCGATCAACTTCGGAAAATCGTTTTGCTGAAGCAAAAACTAGTCAAATTTCAGAAACATGTTTTAGGCATGACTCTCACTCAGACTCAGATATTGAGGAGTCAAAAAATAATACTACTAGTTTCTTAGAATCTGACAGTGACGGGGATGAAAAAAATAAAGAACTACCGTTCAATACAACTTTAGATGTAGTATGTAAAAAGAAAAGCAACCAAACTGCTGACGAAAAAGATTTAGATGTTGATTCGGACACAGAAAGTAATATAGTATTGAGTGGATTGTAAGTATCCATTTATTTAATTATACTAATTTTTTATTTAATTTTTATGTATACATCTATATATTTTTTTCTACTAGACAATATTTCCTTAGTAAAAGGGATATTTTAATATGATATCTTGAGTATTATATAGTTACATAAACATCTTTCAGTTTTCAGCAGTTCAGTTCAGCTAAATTAATAAGCCCATTTTAGTGCTCCTCAATTTGTTGTTTGCATTTTATTTTATTTTACGGAATCATCATTTTGCCATTAAAAACAGAGAATGTTCGTTTGCAGGATGCGCAGGTAACAAACCCCGCTCTGTCTACGACCGTCAGGTGAGATTTTATTTGAGATTTCAGGTGACTATCTCATGCCAAAAACTCATTTGAAACCTCACCTTAGAATTAGAGAAAATTTATTCTGTTTTTAAAAATTGATTTAAAACACTGAAAAAGATGTGTTTCGATGTACTATCCTAATTGTGGTGTGTATAAAGCTAACGTAGCAAAGTCATAGGGCCACAATAAAATTTACACCAAATTTTTTTGCTAATTATTTGCTGTTTTGTTACCAAAGAATTGATTTTTTTGACGTAGCCGTTTCCAAAAAACACGGTCCTGCTGACTCGAGACTTAAGTCAGCATAGCCACCGCTGTATTTCTAGACCTGTAGCATCAATTTAAACGAGATTTAAGGGATATTTTTTTGCTCGTTATTTGCCATTTTTTTGCTTTAGAAATAATTTTTTTGCCGCAAACCTGAACAACAAACAATGGTCCTGCTGACTTAAAGCGTAAGTCAGCGTAGCCAACGCAATGTCTCCGGATATCTTATACTTATCAAAACAGGTTTTAGAGCATAATTTTTTGCTAATTATTTGCTACATTTCTGGCCTAGAATAAATTTTTTTACTGCTAACATCATCGAGTAACGATGGTCTTGCCGACTCGAGGATGAAGCCAGCGCAGCCACCGCTGTATTTCTAGACCTGTAGCATCAATTCGAACGAAATTTTTGGGATATTCTGTTGCTAGTAGTTCGAAAACAGTTATTATAAAAAAAATGCATACTACTAAGTGGCTAAGAAGCTAATGAGGTTTAATTTTCAAAAGAAAATCCAGCCATGAATAGCGTAACACGATAATTCTATAGTAAATGTTAATTTTTTTAACGGTATGGTTGAACTCAAAACTGTATTGACCTTCTAGCCCATCTATACCTTTTTGCACAGATGGCTTTTTTTCAGTTTTTAAGTAAAACTACTTTATAAAATCTGTCAGACTCCTCCAAAACAGTACCAACTTTGAAGGATTATCGAAAATATAAAACCTTAGAAATTAATTCGATTTGATACTCAATTCGTTTACGCTTTTAAGGCTGACAATGTCGTAGGTCTGAAAATCGAGAATCTTGCAGTTACGTACATTAGCTTGTTCTTTAAAATTCATTAATTTATCAAAAAAATTTTAATGAAACTTAAGTGTAGATAAAAATCTTATGTCGTATAAATAAAATCGTGGAATTTCTCACTGTTTGAAAGTAAATTTTATTATTTTAGCATTATTTTTTTATTATATGTATGTGCAATAGTGTAAAAATAATACATATTCAAGAAAATAATGTTTCATTTTATTATTTTGAAAAAAATATATAATTTTTAGGTAGACAGAGATTTTTTAGTCTTAGTATATATTAAATATGTTAATTAAATACCAGTGAATGGTGAAACAACAAAGTCTTAAACAAATTAAACTAGTAAAAGAACGTTTTTCCATGAAAAAAAAAGTTAAGAATTCAGGCCAGCATGCATCCAAAAACTCACAATTTTACATACGTATTTTTAAAGTCGTTAATTATAAGTAGATATTATTGCTAACACTATCAAATTCTGGGTTTCTGTGATCTTGCTGGCATAACGTATAAACGTTTTCTTACGGAAAATCGATTTTTCTACCTGTTTAATTTGTTTATAACTTCGTTATTTTTTACCATAATTTAAAAGGTAATCAAACATCTCCAGCCTATTTGAAATTTAAAATCGTTTTTCAAGCAAAAATTAATATACTTACTTTTCTATGTACATTAACTTCATGTTATTTTAATGAATCATTTCCCGAGAATTTACTTCCACACTCTGGACATATTTTATATTTTATGGATTGTGTACAAATATATAATGTTGTTAATGTGTTTGTTTTTTAAATATTTTTGGACATGTTCTTTCATATAACGTACATAATGCTTCTTTGCTTTGATTATAATACCACGTACTTGATGCTTAGATAAACTTACAAATTACTTACAAATTAACGTATTAATAAATGTGTCAAAAAAATTTTCTACCTCTTACTGACCTAAGATTGATAAAGGAAAATGGTCTTCCACAGTGTATTAAAAAAGAATTATTTAAGATGACCATCATTAAAAAACCAAAAATAAAGACGAAAATATGGTTGATAACACAGGCACACAAAAAAAAAGTTATCTGAGTTTGAGACAAAACCCACATATTTGTAGGTTTCTGGGTGCGCTGAATCCAAATCTGAGGTCAGATTAAGTCCATCACCTTCAGATTTTCCACTAGCTAGGGATAAACCCTAGGTAATTGCGTAAACCAGATTTACTCTCATGATCTCGGAGAACCAGGTACTTGGACGTTGCCTAACTCAGAGGCTTACATTGAGTTCATGTAAAACGAGATATACTCATGATTAATAACACTAAAAACATAACCTCAATACGAAAAAGCCCCTTGGATGTCTAAGAATTTATTAATTCTTTAATTCCGAACGCAACTGCAGTCTTCAAGTTTTCGAGTGCGCTGAATCGGAATCTGCGGTCAGATTTAGTCCATCGCCCTCAGGTCTACCACTAGATAAAGAAAAACCTTGCCAATAGCATAAATAAGTTATTTCCGTGGCTCTGAGGTTGCTTTATCTCTAAACCAGATTCCAGACAATAAGGAGACTCTAGATTCTATTGCAGTGGTCTCATATTATATATAGCTGTGGAGTACCTCCATTCGAAGCTTTTACAGTTTGGAATAGGTATACTTCTCATCAAAGAAAATGAAAATCTGAAAACTCCTGCTACCATGGCATTTTATGGAGACGATGACAACTGCTCCAATGGAGATGTGTAGAATGATTCGCTTTTCAGAATTTTATGGTAACGAAGCCAGCGAAAGCACGCTGCACTGCTGGGAGACGATTGGGTGCGAGGATGATGCCGTAGCGTCATCACTACGGCGATATTGACGACGACTTGATATTGTCCTCGTCAAAGTCGGAAACCCCGCATACTTAGCCCTGGAGAGGTTACCTCCAGGACGGCAGACTCACCTGTGATCGGGCCAGGATCCCAAATGGGCGCGGCTCTTTATAAATTTATGGCTGCTTCAACTCACGAAAACCAACCTCCAAAAATTGCTCTAATCAAAATGGAATCCAAGACTGACATTTCGAACAGGAACACACATCATCATCGCGAAGCCACTCGTGGAATCTTTAAACATTTGGATTCCCCCACTTCACATCAAGCTTGGACTGATGAAACAATTCGTCAAGGCACTTGATCAAAATGGAAATTGCTTCCAATATTTGTGTCAAAAATTCCCTCCAATTTCAGATGCCAAGTTAAAAGAAGGAATTTTTAATGGACCTCAGATACGCAAAATGTTGAGGAATCCTCAATTCGTTACAACAATGACAGGTCCTGAAAAATCTGCTTGGCAAAGTTTCCAACAAGTTGTCGAAAATTTTCCAGGTAATAATAAGAGACATGATTACAAAAAGTTAGTTGCAAAACTTATTACAAACTACGGTAAGGTGGGGTGTAATATGAATCACAAACTAAATTTTCTTGATTCTTATTTAAATTAATTTCCAGAGAATTGTGGAGATCTCAGCGAGGAGCAAGGAGAGAGGTTCTATCAGGATATAAAGGAGATGGAGAGGAGATATGAAGGCCGTTAGGATATCAATATGTTAGCTGACTACTGCTGGCCTTGCTGAGAGAAGATCAAGGAAGAAAAAAAAAAGAGACGGAACCCCCTTCACAGGTCGTATAAAGACGAGAGAACAAGGTATCATCGAAAAACCATACCATAATTCGTTTTCCGAAAACAGATAGTTACAGTTTTTATTCATACAAATTTCTGATTTCAGGTCCATATTGATAAGAAAGTTATAATTTTGGATATTGAACAGTGGTGAAGACAAAGAGAGAAAGATGCAAGATAGTTGGAATGATATTGACAGGATCGATTATCATGAAGGATTTTCCTCGTTTTGAAGTTATGTTTATAGTGTTATTTACGATTTGTATATCTAGTTCTACATGAACTCAGTGTAAGCCCCTGAGTTAGGCAATGTCTAAGTATCTGGTTCTCCGAGATCATGAGAGTAAATCTGGTTTACGCAATTACCTACGGTTTATCCCTAGCTAGTGGAAAACCTGAAGGTAATGGACTGAATCTGACCTTGGATTTGGATTCAGCGCACCCAAAAAACCTATCAGCGTATAGGTTTCGTCTCAAACTGAGATAACTTTTTTTTTGTGTGCCTGTGTAATTCAATAGTTGTATCTTATAATAAATTTCTATTAATGTAATATGGGTGCAACATAAATAGATGAAATATCGTGAATCAATACAAAGTATTGAATACATATATAACTAAACTTATAAAGGTGGTAATAGAGTGTTTGTGGAAATTCAAAGAGTAAATAATTCTGAAAAGAAAATTCTGGACTAAGCTAAAAACTATGCTCATGGTAGAAATTTGAGTCCTATGGAAGCAGCATGTTAATTGTAAGAATTTCTCAATTGTGGTAGAAGTCACAAAGTAGAGAATTTAGCTGTCCATCTAGAAAACAAGTGAATAGAATGATTGAATATAGCATCTCCTAAAGATTATGAACGACTTTTCTAAAGTTATTATTAAATTAAAAAATATACAATACCAATAAAGATTTAAAAACACGTCCCTTTAAGTCGAACAACGATGGTGGCACTG